ATGCGAGGCATGGTGCATGTTGCAGGTGGCATTTTGCCGGTGGCTGGCTGGCTGGCCTGGATGGAGGTTTTTTGAACCAGAAACCATTCTAAACGGAACCGATAACCAGTCATTGAGCTTGGTCAGGGGAAAATGTGCCACGACATAAAACGCACTAAGGCATTTTCCACATTTCCCCCGCTCTTCCGCCCCTGGAGAATTTTCCAGACACGACGCACTCGAGCGCACAAAGAAAGAAAGCTGTGAAATGGCCGCCATTGACTGCAGTTTTACCCCCCTTTTGGTTGCCCCTTTTTCAGACATTTTTCCATGTCTTGGCTCTCGCCAACTTGGCCAACTTGTCTATTAACGGTAACTAGGTAAATGTTAGAAATTACCGTTAGAAAAATTGCCTCTGCTCCATTGCTATTTGCACACAAAGTAAGCCATTTGTTAAGCTGCACCGCTGAAGAAAAGCCAAGAAGAAGTATCGGTTGTGGGAGAAGAATTGCTTTGTCTTTGGCTTCTGTGAGTGGGAAAGTGTTGACTTGGCCCAAAATAAAAGCCCTGAAATATTTAGCACTTCCACTAACTCAACTGCAATCTGTGAGCACGAGAAATGCTAATTTCATTTACTTTTTAAGGTAATTGTGAACTTGGAAAAGCCTCATTAAAGGTGATTTTTATTCGTGGCAGGAGGAAGATAGTTAAGTTAAGGCTTTCATTGATGGTTACTTCGTTTTGGTTATCTTAATGTTCTTGGACTTCCATCTATGTCTGCCACTTTGTGGGTGTCAATTGGTTTTATTCCACTTTTACAAAATTTTTACATTATTTTTAAATTTTACAATTAAATGATTTAAAACCACTCTGTAAATATCAAATTGTTCGTTTTCAAGATAACATCTCCAAAAAAAGATTTTTTTTTAAAAACAACAAAAAATATTTATATTTTTAAAGAAGTTATTTACAAAAAAAATGCAGTGCTTATTTCCTTTTGCCATACTGAGCCTCAAGCTAATTATTAGTTATACTTTAATTTAAAATTACTTATTTAAATGATTTTAAAGAACTGCTTTAGAGCAGTTTAATTTGTTTTCCAATATTTATTTATTTAAAATAGTTGTTAGCCTTTTCTTTACAAGCTTCTATTATGCTTCCTAAAACATTTTTTGCTCCTTTTGAATGACTTGTCGGCCACATCACGACTTTCAGCCATTTGGCGGCAGCACATTCTCTTGATGGCTGTTCAATAATTCATTAGACATTTGACATCTTCGCAGCGGTGGATCTGACGACACGTTCAGATTCCATTGACACCTCGGATGCGCCTCACCTGCGAAAGGGGAGGGAGGGATGGATTGGAGTGGGTGAAGTCATGGGGGGACAGGTGCTCCTCCGATACTCCAACAAATGGCCTCATCAAGACGCTCAACGTGTCGCAAATGCGTTGCCGTTGAGTGGCCTCGACACGCCCACCCACCCACTCCTGACAAAATAAAACCCGGGGGCAAGTTTTCACTCAGTTACCACCTGAAGCCGGTCTAGACACTTTTGACACAAATGCGGCGGGTGTTAAGAAAAAGTCTACAAATGTCTCCTCTTCATCTGTCTGCCATTTAATATAGCGAGAAAAAAAACCAAACAAAAAAAAAACAGAAAGAAGCAGAATGCTAAGCTGCGTAGATTTCCGCGTGGTGTCCTCCGTCTCAGTCTGTCCCGCCCCCTCACCTGGCCTCACCTGGCTGTCTGCCGTCGACGGCAACGTCAGCGCTGGAGGTGCGTGTCTCATTGTCTGGCACACTCCAAAAAATTAAGAAATGTAAAAACGTGTAAAAAAATAACATTTTTTCTAAAATGTTGAATAAATACAAATATTTTATTTCCTTTCGATTATACATTTTTAAGCATCTCGAACAAATTTACAATTATTTGCAAATGTACAAAATAAAAACTATAAAATCCTTTTCTGTTCCTAAAAATATTTTTATATTTTAAACTCAAGATTTTTTGTAACAATTTCTTGTCTTAATTTGAACCATACTTTTGTTTTAAAATATAAACTATTTTCTTTAAAAATGCGAGTAAGCTAAAAATCTCCAATAATTTTATTATGATAACATAGTCTTTAAGTATTTACTTTGTATTTATTACTTTCACTAAAAGTTTTTAAAAATATTTTATTTAGTGTGAAAACTAGTTTCAAAATAATTCATACATTTAAAAAAAAAAAAATTTTCTAGAAAAAGCGAAGCATAGAAAATCTTTACATATGGTGAATAATTTTATTTTAAATGTTAATTCAACCATCGCCAATTGAATTACCATTTGACATTATTTGTGCCCGTGCAGGTGGGTGTGACTGTGTGTGTGTGCAAAGGTGTGAACTGCGGGCAGGTGAGGGTCTTCGGTGGGAGAGGGAAAGGGAGGGGAAGCGAAAGAGAAAGAGCGAGGTCTCCGGGAGTACTTGAGACAGGTACGAGAGTGCATATTGAGACAGGTGACAACAGTCGCACTTCATTCACTCTGTTGTTGTGACTCCAGCGCCTCATCCCCTTCGGCTTGCCTTCTTCTTGGCCAGGTTCTTCTGGCACTTCTTCTTGGCCCACAGCATTATGCAACAACAACAACTGTTTGGTGGTAATTGCTGCCGCTGCAGACGCACTAAATCAATTAGAATGCAGCCCACGCAAAGCATTTGCAATGGAAATTCCTTAGCACAAACAGATTGTTCTACTTCTAGTTCATGATAATGTCTGGCAAGTTGGAGGGGGTCTCAAAACTTGGTAACTCCATTCAGATTGTAATCTTCAGTAGGAGTGGCTTTCAGAAGTATCTTTACGCAGTTACCAACGAATTCCTGGATAAGGAGTAGCAGTGGTTGTGGGAAACATAGTTACGAGCTTGTAAATCATAGGCAATTAAAAGTTTACTAACTTGAATAAGAAAATGCAAGGCATTTATTCGCAGAAAACATAGTTTTCTTAATGAATTATAAACGCAAAAATCGGCTTTGAAAGAACGAGCATTTGCATCTAATATTTCAGATTAAATCTACTTTATTATTTAAATAAGCCAATTGGGCTTTAGACTTTAAATAATAAATGTATGAAAAAATGGTCATTGTTATTGGTAAATTTATTGGTTTTAATTTGCACATATACATTTGCTGTAACAATATGGAAGTGTCAGAAATATATTTAATAACCCAAAATGAATGCAATGTATTAGACATTTTGCCAGTCTTAAAAAATGCTTTTTGTTTGTTATTTAAAGAAATTGTTTATCTCAGCCACTTCAAGACCATTTGGCATTTCTTTATTCCATTGTGGAATTTGTATGGAATGCATTTCTTTCACTTTTCACATGCTTTTCGTATTTGCGCGATGATTCTCGCCGAATGTCAATGCTCCCCGAAATGGAAATGATTTTTGCCGGCTAATGGGGTTCACTGACCCCCTCTTTTTTCACTCCCCAGATATGCAACACCCAACACCTTTGTCAAAAAAAAAAAGTGTTCGGCCAGTTGTCAGTTGTTGGTGGAAGGTGCGATAAATGCGGACAGACGTAACGAGCGAAAGGGCCAAAAAAGAAACCCATTAAAGTAAAGCTGCATTAACAGCTAAATGAAAACACCCAACAACAAAGCGTAGGCATCAAATTTCTTTACAGACAGAAAAAAATGGATGGGACTAACCCTCAGTTAAGTGAGAGGGAGATGGAGAGAGTGGGCACTGGAAAAAAAAAATATTTTATTCTACTCATATTCTAAAACGTGAAGTTAAGCTTAGAAAACCAAAACGCCTCTCTCGGCGATTTTCTTTTTGTTTAGGACTTGTACGAAAAGTTTGTTATTTAGATCCTTTAACTAAAAAAGAGACTTCCTCCTTTCTTGATGGAATAAATATTTTTTTATAATATGCATTTTTTTTCAGTGTCTAAAAGAGAGCGGGGGAATGCCAAATCGAACGATTAAGACACGCTTACGTTTTAATTTTGCCGTTGTTGTTTTGTTCTGCAGTTTCGTCTTTCTGTTTCGTGTTTTGCCCTCACTTTTTTGTTTGTTATTTGCTATTTGCGGGGTTTCATTTAAGTGCCCGCTTCTTCAATGTTTGTTGTTGTTGTTCTTATTAGCTAGTTTTCACTCTTATCTCTGTCGCTATTCATTTTTTTTTTTGTATGAATGCATGTGGGTGGTGTTTCCCGGCACACCACCCACCCCCCATTCCCCCTTTCCCACATTCTTTGTCGTTTAGCTTGTGCCTTTTGTGAAAATATTTCAATTATTTGTCAAATTGACACAATGCGCAATTCTGCTTACAATTTGCAATTGTTTGGCTGGGCAAAGGCAACACGAAAAACAACAATTGTCGTGGGCCTGCGATGCTGTCAACAGTTTGGAAAGATAATTTCAACTTGATTTATTTTCGTACTAGATATCATTGAAAATATTATTCTGTTTAGCATCTTTCATGTTATCATTGATATTCCTGGAAATTGTATGTGGAACGGAAGTCTTTCGTCATTGATCTTTGCTCCGTAAATATTTGGTTTTATGTGCATTAAAGCCAAGAAACATGTGTTGACATTGCGGGCGGTCTGTGCTGTTTTTTTTCTAAAAAAAAAATTGGTCATCTTGTCTAAAAGCTACACAAAATTAGAATTTATAAATTTGCATTACTTTTTTTTTTGTACTGGAGCCTATTACTGCCATTAAAAATATAATAAAGTTTTTTAAGCTTATTGAGAAATCGCTGCGATCCACTATAGGTCGATGCTCTCAATCTTTAAGTGTTAATAAAATCAGATTATAGTAAATTCTTGGAAATTGAAACTGGAACAGAGACGTAGAATTCTGAGAAAATTCTGATAACCTTGGGTGACGGCTAGTGGGTGGGTTTTTTTTTGTCTCCATTCTTATCGCAGAAAAGAAATGATAACGTTTTTGGATTGGTAGCCGAGAGGCAAAGGCCCTCCCTGTGAAACTATTAATTTAAGGCAAACACTGTGCTCTCTTGCAGATAGACAAAGAAACGCGTAATAATTAAACTGAAAAATGCTAAAAGTGGCCTAAAAAAAAGCATAGCAGACAGCAGAGTTTGAAAACGGAATACCATGGTGCAACTGAAAGTTGCAGAGCAACACAGCAGCAGCAACAACGGCAACATAAGCAACAACAGTGTAAGCAACACAAACGGAACAATAACTAGCAACAATAATGCGGGTGGAAGTTGCTCGTCGACAACCTCTTCAACGAACAGTTTGAATAGCAATCCGGCCTCGCCCGCCTGCACCATGGTGATGTTGCCAGCACCGCAGCAGCACTTGGTGGTGCAGCAGCAGCAGCAGCAACAGCCACAGCAGCAGCAGCAACAGCAGCATGTGCAGCAGCAACATGGCCATGCCCCGCAGCTGCAACAGCAGCAACACTCGCCCTCGGACGGCGGTTCATCGAATTGCTCGCTGCCCGCTTCACCGCCCCTGTTGCAACAGACCGCCACGCCGCCGCAGGGCGCCCAGATTGTGCCGCCCGTCTGCGCCCTGCACCACCCACAGCAGCAGATGGCCCTGATGGCGGCCATGCAGCACCACCACCACCTGCCACCGCCCCCTCACGCCCTGCACCATGCCCCGCTGCCCACGCCACCCCCTAACCTACCGCCACCCCACGAGAACGGCCATGGTGGTGGCACAGGGGGTGGCGGTGGTGTATCGCCCAACGGAGGCGGGGGCGGTGGCTCCTCCGCCAGCAGCGTGAGCAGCCTGTCCAGCGGCAGCGGGGGCTCGGGGGGACAGGGCAACAACGGCCTGAGTAACGGAACGAATGGCATTGCACCATTGCCGCCGGGCCAGCTGTTCATCCAGTATCCTAGCGAATTTTATCCGCCGGAATACTACATTGCACCGCATCCGCACGAGGGAATCTGCCCGCAGCATCCGCACCACCCACACCCGCACCACCACCAGCCTATGTGCGCCATGTCCACGGAATACGGTGAGTCCAGAGTCGTGTTTTGAAATCTAAATTAATCTACGAATTAGGGCGAGTAAATAAAAATATAACTTCGGCTTTCCTTACTGTATAAAGAAACAAATTTAAAACACTCCTTAAATAAACATACATTTTATTAAACTAACAAAAGACCTGATTATCATTATATATATTTAAAATTTAATTGTATCTAGATATATCATATTATCGTAGAAGCATTTAACATCTAACAGTTTTATATGCTTAATGCCATTAATTTTTTTACCATTAAATACCATTAAAATAACATTTTAAATAACTTCAACAATTTTTGTAAGTAACCAATATAAATGAATTATTTTAAACCAAAACCATCATAAATATTATCTTCCTTCAAGCTGAAATTAATTAAATTCTACAGCACACATAAACCATTTTCCCCCACTTTTATTTCATTACTCTTAATGTAATTTGATACAGTAGCTAGCCAACTTGGCTAACCAAATACCACAGTATTTTAACGAAATAAAATAAAATTTAGCTAAAAAGTGCGAAGCATCAGGGCATATCTTGCTGGAGCTAATTACAGCTGAAGTAATCCTTCGGCTAAGTATCTCAATTCGTCAAAAGATACTTTGCTAAGCCTTCGCCACGATGATGCAGTCGCCGAGCTCTTAAGCTGCCAAAAAACTTGGCAAGCGACAAACAAACAAAAATGGGCGAAATGGGAGGAAAGTTCGCCAGCTAAAAATAGACGAAAGCCACATTCAGAGCTTAGCCGCCCACTTTCATCCAACGACCACCCACCAACCCACTTTCGCCCCCTTGCATCAAGTTGTATACATTTGGCATTTAAATCTGCTGAGAAGAAAACCTCAACCTCAACCTCAAACCACCGCCCCTCTACCGTCCGCAAAGTCAACAAGTAAACTTTGCATTTGATTTATCTCCCCCGGCATAGAATGTACCTCCCCTTTCCACGAGAAAAACCCCCGTTTTACACAACGCCAGTCATTTAATATCATCAAGCAACAAATTAGCTCAAAATCGCCTTTTTTTCTGCTCACACTGAATGCACTCGACATTATTGGAATTTCCATAACAACAGCAACTAAACACCATCCAGAGTGGAGTAGAGTATATATTTATAGATATGGCATTCAGTTCCACCATCGGCTTAAGTTCCAGTTCCCGTTGGCTTTATACTTAGTATATATAAAGTATCTAGTGTACGCCCATCTCGTGATTTGCATATGAATTCGCCATACAGGGTGCAGGATTGTTTTTTTTTGGAATGTCCAAGAAAATATTGACATTAGAAAAAGTCGGATAATAATTTAAAAAAAATAGCTTATCTATCCTATTTGTTTCATAATCATTTACTTTATCTACTTCATAAATATATACTATATGACCACCTGAGCTGATGGTAGTTAATCATATACATTAATTTTATAAATTCAAATTATAATATCAAACTAAATTATTTTTTATGCAGAGCTTATCTTAATAACAAGCGATTCGCATTTGTGTTTTGGCATTAGCATGATACTTTCCAAACACCCACACAAACCAAAACTGACCATAGAATAAAAGCCAGTCAGACTGGAACTTGGCTTTGCGATTCTGACCAAGCCCAAAAGACTGGCAATCCAATGGGGAGAAATATGTACAGAAATAGAACAGCAATGCGTCACTCGAGAAGGAATCAGATGAAGAAGACAGACTGAGAGTGCTGGCAAAAAATATAATTGAATTTGATCAGGTTTGGCGCAACCCAGAAACCTCGATAACCAACATTTCCAATTTATCAATGTCATTAACCTTAATTGTGGTTTCGGGAAGGGGTTGAACAAAGAGCGTCCATTGATCGACTCTGCAACTTGAGACAAGACTTTAATTTTGGTTTCTTTTGATTGTTTTTTGGCGCATTTTCTAATTCAATTCTCCGACTTACACTAGACAGCCATGCTGTGTGAGTTGTCTCTGTGTGCTAATTGAATTTGCATGTGAGGCTGGCAGTTATCCACACACACCTCCTCTTAACCCACTAAAGCCCACCCATGGAACGCCGTCACTTAGTTTGATGTCAACATCGAGGACCCGACGCAAAGTGCCAGCGAGCTGGGAGTATTCTCTCCACTAAGTTGCACATAATTTACAATTACGGGGAAGTGTAAATGGCTTTTCTACCTCCACATCATCCCCCTCAGGGCCCAGCCCCCTTTTTCGCCCCTTATCTGAGTCTCTGTTCCGCTCCTGCCAGCTTCCTTTGCTCATTTGGCAAATGCCAACACTGGGGGAAAATAATTGCCACCTATAATGAAAACAGAAAATCATAATTTAAGACATTTACTTTACACTGCGAGAATTTCCACTGATTTGTTATAGAAAATATATTTAATAGGGAATATAAACTCTAATGGTTCTTTCGTATTTTACTTTATGTTTGCTTAACTTTTAATTTTGGCATTTATAACAATATTAATATGTAGACAAAATAAATGCTTATTAATAAGTCTCAGCCATCAATAAATTGTCATATTTATTTTATGGATAGAAAAATCGTCAATCATTTGTAATAAAATTTTTAGAAAGATTCTAGCAATCAAGATACTTTAAATCTGGAAAAATTGTTTAATATTATTTGTTTATAACAATTTTATTGATCAAACATATTCAAAATATAGATTGTAGTATAGGATATTGGACGTAATGAAAACTAATATTATAAAAGAAAAATTTATTTATATTGCTTAGCTATTTATCTACGATTTAATTATAAAATAATTGATTTATTTATAAAAATCAGAAAGCTTTGCATATGGGATTGTATTATATACAAATTTGAAAACTCATTCCCGATCCCCAATATTATTTTGGTGCAGTGATTTCTCAGACAGTTTTGCCTTTTCCCTCAACTCCAATCGACTTTGCCCTGCTCTGGTTTGGCCTGGCCTGATTGTTGTTAATCGAATAAACTTGCAGAGGAAATGGGCTCCGAGTGCGTGCTGGGCCTTAGACTTAGGCGCACCCCCCAAGGCCCCTGAAGCCCCCTTCCCGCACTACCCCCTCCCACTTGCCCCTGTGTGCTCTAATGGAATTTGCGCCCGGACCGACATCAACTATATTGATATGGATGCTGAGCATGTTATAATTATAAGAATGCTGAGCATGCTCTTGTTTGACTCCCTTTTCTCCTTTTCGAAGTGCAAAAAAATATTTAGCTGAATAGGGTAGATATGGAAGTATTTCTGGCGTATATTCGAAAGAAGTTGTAGGAATGAAAGGGAAGTGGGTGGCAGTGACCAGTCGCCCTCATGGTGTTGATTGCCGCGTCCAGCTCTCTAATCAACATAATTTCTATTATTTTATATGCCCACACCCCAGACTCACATGCGGTCGGACTAAATGACCACCGAACAAATAAGAAACAGAAGGGAAAAATATATAAAAATTGAAATGAATCGGAATCTAAGGCTGATAAAAGGCACGTGGCTGAAGGCCGCCGTTTAAAGAAAGTTGAGTTTTGGGTCAGCTTTTATTTTATTCTAGGCGATCTTTAACGGAGAAACGAAACAAAGTCTTTCGGCGACTTATCAACTTTCGTAGGCTAAAGTTAATAGTATTATATTTCATTTAAAAATTTATTTTTTTTGTTATATGTTTGATAAAAGGCGCGTGGCTGTCAGGAAATTATCAACTTCTGTTTTAGTTGAAAAGAATTTGATATGTTATTTTCATGATAATTACATTGCTAAGAACGCAAAAAGTAAATTAGACTTTTTTACACTGAGTACTATTTAATGGATTTTTTTGTAGTTTAATCTTTTACAATTTTAACTAATCTGCTCTGTCCTTATTTTCTCTATTTTTATGGTCGAGTACATATTAGAGGTCATTAACAAATAATGTTCCCATAAATACTAGAAACGCAAACATCTTGAGGATTAAGGGCACACAGTCAATGAACTTACGAGAAATAAGTGAAACCGGAGAGCAAAAAAAAAGAGGGCGTGGAAAGGCAACTTAAGCGTTATATCAACACTTGTCCGCAGATCAGAATCTATGGGAATCTATGAGAAAAGAGGAAAATCGGGAAGGAAAGACATGAGGGAGCGGAAATCCAATATCTAGCCATAATTATACATCCCGCCGGCAACCATTTTTCGGTTAATCTCTTTGGTAATAATTTTTAATTAACCCGCACATCGAACGCCTTCGGCTTATTAAGACTTATTATATTACGATGAGGGAAGTGGGGAAACCATGCTGTGAACTTTGCACTTTTGAACTTTTCGCTTGTCTTCGGTCGTTTAATGCTTAACAGATGCCAGCCTGGGAAATTAAACGAGCTGTCAAATAAAAATTCGTCTTTCCTCTTTCACATTAAATGGGGCTAAAGTTTTTTTACACTGAAAGTAATACTTTAAGCGAGTAAGCGAAGTAATTCGAGTAGGGGAGGCACCTGCTTGTAAAAGCCAAGGAAACTGTGTCACAAAGTAATACAAATCAGAGAAAAGGACAAAGGGACTTGAGCAAACACTGCTGATAGAATCCACAAATGATTGTTACTTATTATTCGCACATAAAACGTTTTTCCCAGGAATTTTCCAAAGGACTTTTCCCCGCCCGTTTCCCTCCCAACAATTGTGTTCAGTGAGGCATAAGCAAACATTTCCATTTTGCAAGTGAGGACATTGTCGAAGGTCCTGCGTCCCGTTCTGATGTCATATTACAAGCTCTTAGCTAGCACAAATTCCTGTGGGTCGTAAAAAGAAAAGTGCATAAAATGTCTTGTCAGTGGCTGTCAAACTGTAGGCAGTCAGCCAGCCAGGCGACAGGTAGAAAAGGCTAAAGAGAAGCTTCTCGGTATGCGGAATAAATGGCAGCTGCTCTTAACCCCTTACCTCCCTTAACCCCACATAAACTTGTCCATTTTTACGAGCCGCTTTGGCGGCACAGATTTATTGGCTTCCTCGCTTTTGCTCGATTTTATTGTTGGCCCACGGAATATAACCCAT